GCTGAATTTTTAAAATTCCTTTCAATTTCTTAGCAACTGAATGATGAGGTTCAGTACATTATGAAAGAATCAGAAGAGATAAGTGGCAAAGGAGCCCCCATGAAAGAAAAGTCTCAACAACTGAAAGACCTTATTCATCTCCATCAAAAACAAAAAGAGAGAATCCAAGATTATGAGGATATCCTGTACAAGATTGTCCAGTTCCACCAAGTCAAGGAGAAGGTAGGCTTTACAGTGGATGTCTGAAAGGTCCTGAGTCTTAAACTATGAAATTAAAAGCTAATTATTGCATAATAAATAAAGGCCAAGTTTCTTATCTTGGTATTAGAAGCTTACACAATCTGGCCTCTAACTTAGCCCTCACTGTGCTGCTATCCTCCCTTATGTTCCAGCCATACTGAGCTTTTCTTTCGCTTTACAAGATGGCACACACAGTCCTAACTCCATCCCTTGACTCTCAGGCTGCCGCTACCTGACAGGTCTTTCTCTTTCCTCTCTATTGACTAAACTCTGGACCTCCTTCCAACAATCCTATCTCACTTGGAATGATTTCTCTCTCTTCTAAATTTCTAGAGTTTTCACTGTTTACTCCACACATCTGGCATTTTGATTCTTAATTACTGTTTGATAAATGTAGCTTTTTTTTTTCCCACTCAAGTATAAGCTCTTTGAAGGCAGAAATCAAGTCCAATTTTTTTGTATCTCAAGTACCCGATATTGAGGAGTTGCTCATATATTTGTTGGTTGCTTTTCTTTTTTGTTTTTTTTTTTAACAAAAACTTTATAGTTATTTTAGCTTCTATTAACAGAAAATGGAAGAGTATTGATAGCCCTTTAAAATAGCCTCTGTGACTAAGGTCACAGGCTTAGATCTTGCTAAGGTTTTAGGCTATGACCAAAAAGAGTATTTATTCTTTAAGAACTGACAATGTTAGCCACTCAATTTCACCCTAATGGATTTGCAGCCTTGTAACATTTATTTGGCTATAACACCAATAGTAATGGATGGACTCGGCAGCATTTTGACCAGCTAGCAAAATATATTATAGAAAATAATTTGGGGGGCTGGCCAATTAGCTCAGTTGTTTAGAGCATGGTGTTGATAGCACCAAGTTCAAGGGTTCACATCCCATACCAGCCAGCCATCAAAAACAAAAGAACAAGAAAATAGGGTTTTAAAACAAAATCTGTCTTCATATGAAACCCAGGTTAATTATTATTAATGTCTTAAATTCCAGCTGGGACATCTCATCAGTTCGAGAGAACTGGAGTTTCTAGAGCAGACAAAGGAACTGGATGATGTTCATGAGGCCCAGATTTACCTCGGTCGCTCTCAGGAGAAGCAGGCTCATGTCGACCATCTCTGTAATCTGGCCCTCTCCTTAGGAGTGGACATCATCTCATCAGTGCAGCGGCCTGTAAGCATCTCAGAACACCTCATTTATACCTAGTTCTAGCTGGGACTTGAGATATAACATGAAAGAAACTCTATAGATTGCTTATATATGTTATGTTTAAGAATACATTAAACTATTGGGGTAGTTATTTGTGGTAACAAAAGACTCTGACAAAAAGAAATCGAGGAGAAAATCTGGATATAAAAGTCTTATTTTATAAGACTTCTCATGCTAATTTTTAAAAAGCATATTCATATTGTAGAGCCTTGTAGTCCAATAAGGCAGTCAGTTTTTTGCATTTGAAATGTGCCTAATACAACTAAGGAACTAAATTTTTAATTTTACTTAATTAGAATTAATTTTAATTTAAATTTAAATTTAAAAACTTATTCCCAGTATAATTATTGGAAAACTTTTAATTATGCTAGGAACAACTCGAGTATGCCAATCTACTTTTGAAACTATACGTTTTATGAAACTTAAATACAGATTAAATATTTCTGGTAGAAATTTAGTCATAATTGAGATATGCTCAAAGTATAAAATACACACCAGATTTCAAAGGATTAATATGAAAAAAGTTAATTTTTTTATATTGGTTACATGTTAAAATATTTGGACATATTAGGTGAAATAAACTATATTATGAAAGTTAATTTTACCTCTTTCTTTTTTACTTTTTAATATGACTACTAGAAAATTTTAAATTATTTAAAATTATATTTCACATTATATTTCTGTTGGATGGTGCTGCTTTAGCACTGCAGATCTGTAAGACCATCTGGATCTCAGAGCTCATCTAGACCAGGACCCTCCTTTTAGAGATGAAGAATATGAGGCCTAGAGAAGCTGGCTGCCTTATCCATAAGTGCCCAGAAGACCCCAAGCCTCCTGGCTCCAGCCAGGACTCTGGGAAGTAGTCATTGGATCTGCTTTATGCCACTGAACAGACTTCACCAGAGAAGCCTAAAAGATAAGGAAATATTTCCAGATCAAATTTTCATAAATAATACACTGGGCTCTGTCTTTTTAAAAAAAATCCTCCAAATTCCTAATTTGGGGGAGAAAAGATTATGTTTATTCTATCATATGTATAACAGTAATAAAATCATAATGGCCAATTTTATTTTAAAGTTCACTTAAGATATCCCATACACTATATGTAATGCAGTGAACCTCAACTATATATTTTTAAACTGAAAGACAGAGACAAAAAGTATCTGTTACTGTTCATAGAATCTGCTTTTGCCTGGAAAGAGCTTTCATTTTGAAGAGTTTTATTTTATTAGTAAATTTATTTTTTAAAAAAAGAAAAGAAGAAGTCTTGCTTTTCACAAATAATGTAAATTGTTCTTCAGTTCCTGTCTGGCCTTGACCCTGCAGCCCCTGTGCTGAGTAGAGATTGGAGCACTTGCATAATGAACCTGAGGTTAAGCTCAAGTTGACAGGAAAATTATAGTGCAGAAGCTGAATGTTTCTAATGCATATTTTATGCCTTTTGAAATAAAAATTATACCTTGTAATGAATGGTGTCTTTGAGGAGTTGGGTGTGATAAGCAAATCTGCAAAACTAGAGATTTGAGACTGGAAATGTCTTTCCTATAATGTTGGGTGTCTGGCTTCTTTCTGAAATAATTATATTCCAATATGTTTAAGGTAAAATAAATCAGGAGCATATTTCTTTTTTTAAAATATGTCATTTATGAGTTTCATAATGCAGGTAAATAGCATATTCGTCTCATTGCTATTTCATCTGTTCCCTTCATTCCTGTGCTACATCCACTTTTTCATTTTTAGAACTGCTTCAGTGTTTCTGCAAAGAGCCTGCAGCAGCAGCTGGAGACCCTTGAGGAGGACAGCATGAACTGGCGTGCCAAAGCCCAGGAGCATGACCACAGCCTGGCCCGCAGCTTGGAGTACTGCACTGCAAGAGACGAGATAAACGAGGTGGGGGGATGGGGAGGATGCGAGCTGACACGTGGCCAAAAGCTGCTCTGAACCTAAAACATGCATCCCAATGTCCACACGTGTGCACGTGTGTGTGTGGCCAAAAGCTGCTCTGAACCTAAAACATGCATCCCAATGTCCACACGTGTGCACATGTGTGCGCGCACATGCACAGTGAATCAGAAGACTTTCTTCTCACCCATGTCCTCTAATCTTCTGAGTAGTGGCCTCAGGGCTCTGAAACTTTGAGTAAACTCCATGTCTCCAAACTTGTTGATGTCAATATGTATGTTGTCAATACACAGAAAAACCTAGAATGTAGTATTAGTTTTGTTGGCTGTTTTTGTTTGTTTGTTGCTTCCCTCCCCACCTCCCCTCTCCTCAAACCCTTATAGCAGCCATTTGCTTGAGTGGATACAGCTTTTTCAGGGCACAGAGGAAAGGGTGACACTGACCCCGCACAGCCAGCTCCAGCCTGCTGACATTCTATTTAAGTACCATTGACTCACAATGAAGGGGTGCTAAGTGCCAGGGAGCAGGCTCTTTGCTTCAGAGGCTACAGAGTATTATCACCAAAGTCGAGTGGCTGGTTTCATATTTACTCAGACTGAGTGGCTTTTCTGGCAAAACAACTCTCAGGAAAAAGAAAGAACACATAAAAGTGGTCCTCTGTGGCCACACCCACCACACACACACAATCCCACCTCTTCCCTCTCAACTGTAAGCAACCCCAAAGCCCTAGACACTTACTGAACCGCAACCCCCTCCTTCCCCTGGCTAAGCTTTCTGTTCAAAGGCTTACTGTTCTGGGACGAAAAAACAAAACACAGATCGCAACAGTGAGGGTCATAATTCTTAACTGGTAATTGACAGCAGAACATAAGGATACCTGTAATTCAGATTCACCTTCATTTAGAGCAAAATGTTTCTGAGTCCATTAAGCCATAAGTCCATTAGGGAAGGGGGCGGGGGAAAAGAAGTTGGTAATCCTTCCCGAACTTTCTGTTGATGCCCAGTTTATATAATCTAGGCCCAGCAAATATCCAGCACCATCAAACAACAGTAAAGCATGGACTAAAGTATGAGTAACTCAACTTGAGTGGTGGCCTAGCACTGAAGTGTCCTTTCCTGCAGGCCACACTTTTGCAGACCACAGGCAAGTGCAGGAAAGCACAGCTGGGAGGAAAGGGCAAGAGGAAGGGAGCAAGAGTGGCCGTGTGGATCCCGTGCCACAGGACAGTGATTTTTGTTTTAGCAATGGGCTGCGCAACTGTGGAGCTTTTGCTCATCACTGTGTTCTAGGCAGTCAGGTCGGGTTAGGGACTCGTTAACTCATTCAGGGTTGGACCCATCCTGTAGCTGCACTCTGTGCAATAGAATGCCTCCTCCCGTTCCTGTGGGGCAGCTTATGCTTCCGTCAGGTCTTGTTAAAGAAAATAAGGCTACAGAATTTGGGTTTGCAGCCACAGAAACATTTTTCTTACAGTCTTTCCCCAAACTTATCTTCTTTCTTTCCTTCCTCCTCTCTTCCTTCCTCCCCTCCACGTCCCCCTATTCCACCCCATCCCCTCTTTCTCCCCCTCTCCCGCCTCCTCTCCTGTACTTCCTCCCCCTCCTTCTTTTTGTCTCTATCTTGTCAAAATCTCCCTCCCTGCAGTGATGTTTCAGCTCTGTATTTACTGAAGGCCTAAGTGGAGCAGGCTAAGGGTTATTCCCAGCCCCCTCTGGCTCGGGTTTCCATCTCCCTGAGGAGCTGGGTCTCCCTATTCACGCCCTTCCTGGGGCTCTATTTACAGGGACTGCCTCATGATGAGCCTGTCTAGGAGCCAGCCAGCCAGGACAACAGATGTACCTTCCAGTCATAGTAGGAACGCCCCAGGATTGTCTGTACCATAGCAGGAATGAGCAACCAGATACGTGTGGGTTTGATTTAGGAATCAGATATCACTTCAACATGCTCTTAAATATTAAGAGAGATATACTTCCCATTTGCTTCTACTTCAAATCCAACTAATCTTTTATGTAAGTTTCACATTTAAAGGACCTTTGAAAACCTTGGGTCCTTTTCACCTTTGCTTTTTTTGTAGGCGTATAGTAGGCATGTCAGAGTATAATTTCTGAACGTAATGGGAAATAATCGGAAGGAATATTTTCAGTGCCCCTTAGAAAAATAAAGATCTGTGTGTTCTAGTTTATATTGTGAATATCAGAGCACAAATAGATGGTTAATTTCCAATGTGGTAATCATATACGACGTTGACATTATTATTAGTAGTAGTAGTTTTGGGGTAGAGGTACTTAAAACATTTAGAGCACAAATAGATGGTTAATTTCCAATGTGGTAATCATATACGACGTTGACATTATTATTTAGTAGTAGTAGTTTTGGGGTATAGGTACTTAAAACATTATGTAAAATTAAATGCAATGTGTTACAATAATTTTATTTTCTGTATAGAAAAAAATAAGATAAAATATCCTGCCAGGGTACTAGGCCAAGCATAGCATTTAGTTTTTTAATTTGATTTTTAAAAACACTGTTTTGCTTCCAAAACGTTGAAAGTACTTCTTGAAAGTTCATAGACTTTGAGTTGTTGTAGATTCTAGAGAATATCTAGTTCAACATCTTAATTTTTCAGTTGAGAAAACTGAGGTGTTTGTGATTTTCATTTTAGCATTGTGCTAGAATACTGTAGAGTTTCTGTTCATAGTGTTCTTGGGCGTCAGCTTCAGGCCAGAGCTCATTTGCTGGGCACCAACACACTTGTCATTTGCTAAACTCAGAATTCACCATTTACACAATGTTTTAGTCCTATTCAACCATTGTGTGTTCTGATGCTAAATGTATCCTTTTTCAACACTTTCTTCTTCTATCCCTATTTTCTGATATAATTGTTAGATGTTTGTATGTTCTCATATAATAGAATGGTTCATTTGGTCATTTCAACAAAAATTTCTTTCTTGACTATGCTGTACCTCACTTACGTGGTTGTAACTGCACCAAAGGCCCTTAGAAAAGGACTCGATACCTGAAGCAAAGTAACGTAAAGTGTTGTAATCTGATTTTTATTTTTTTAGTGTGATGTGATATTCCTTAAAGACATAGTATAATGGTTTTGTACCTTGATTATCTTGGAGCAAAAAAGGTTTTTTTCTAATTTTATACATAGGAAATTGTACAACCTTGTTTTCTCCATATCTACCTACTACAAAACACAGGCTTCAGATTGCCAGACTTTATGTTTTTTTCTCACCCATTCCACACAAAAATATATTTTGTTTGAATGTTGAATTACTATATATTTTCTTGTCTGAATTGTTAGTACACAAAGCATTATAGACATTTCTCTGCCATATCACATGACAGAATAACATCATTAGTCACTCATTCTTTACAAGTCTACATTTACAAATGTAATAAGTCAATATTGAGCATGTTTTCTTCTTGCAACCTGACCAAAAGAATTACCTTTATATTTCCAAATGGAAATTTGTAACTAGAGGCTCATATTATGAGTCACAATTACTTTGCTGAAAAGAATAGTAATGATAAAATCAGGTTGGTATCCATTTTAATAAAATAAATTTTCCACACAGAAGCTTTCCTATAATTATTTTATCTTACCTGGAAATTTATCCACAGTAGCAAAATCTTGCCCATCGGGAAGTAAACAGAGAAGGACTTAGCATATATGACGGTACTTCAAAAAGTTATCTTTCAATTCTATTTTTCCATGAACTTTTTGAAGTTCCCATGTACATTACATATTTCAGTCGTGTGTTCCAGTGGCACAAATTCTTTTGTCAACTTGGATAACTCAATCATCTGAGTTCCAGGGATACAAGTCGGATTAGGGGCAGTAAATTAGAAAAGAGGAATGGCAGGAAAGGAAGCAGAAAAAGAGTTTGTGTAGAGGGCCAAACACCCACTGGGGCAGCACTGGGGCTTAGCACAGACAGTAATTATTCTCCAGATTTATAACCCAAATTCTTCATTCAAAAGAAAGAGACTACATTATCTTCATTCAACAAATGTCTTTAATGTAGTCACTGTGTGTCAGGCTACAAGAATACAGATGTTCTCAGGAAACTTATTCAAGGGAAAATTAAAACCCATGGGGTGTCATGTCTCAGCCGTTCGTTCGTTAGGCCCCACTCTGGGTCCACTTGCATGTTGTGTGCAAGAGAATAGGAAAGATTACAATTTGTTCCAAAGACATTCATCCCATAGGTGTTAAAATCTTTTAAAATGTTGCTGTTTAACATCTACAAAGTGGGAGCTTCCTGAAGAATAAATATAGAAATCTGAAGTTTAAAATTGTAGTTATAGTGTCCAGAAAATAAAACAGATAAAACTTAGCAAACATATCATGAAGACATGAAACATGCATTCAGAATGGATAAAATATTTATGACTGCGATCTGCTGCCACCTACAATTTAAGATGGAGCAATTGTCTTCTCACTCTAAGTTGCTCCACTCTGCTGCGACAAGACTGGCTGTGAACACAGGAAGACAGTGGTGTGGTTGCCGAATGGCAGGACGCCAAGAAGTCTTGTTCTGAAACCTCTCCAGCACCAAGACTGAATATTCTACCACTTATAATCATAGCAAATCATTTGGGTCAAAGTTTGAGTCTTTGGATTTCTTCATTTCAAATGCAAGCATGCCTGGGAGGTGATAGTATTACAGCCTTCTGTTACTGAAAATGAGCCTCGGAAAGCTTCCGGAGTGAGCAAAATGGCGGGCAAGAAAGGAAGCTCAGGAAGTAGACACTGAGAGGGATGAAACTTGACTGCCCATTTTGTATTTTTGCTTCTGGCCAAACGTGCGCTGTAGTTCCAATGAAAGACTTTCTTTTTAAATGTGTTTCCTCCATTTTAAAATGTCCCATGTCACTCACACAAATTGGCCTTTACCAGCAACAGACTTACACGTAATACATTCTTGTGCCAAAGCTGCCTCAACCAGCTTAGTCAAAACTAAGAATAGCGAGCCAGCCTCGCTTGCCATCAGCCTCTTTGCTTTCTCTTTCTTCCCCAAAGCTTTGTTCGTTCCTAACCCTGACAGGGGCTTACAGCTTGCTGGGAAATTTGGTAAACATGTTCATTCTGCCAGTTTTAAAAGACCTGTGGTTTCTAAATCATAATAATTTTTTTCTAATTATAGATATGTTGACTCAGTCTGCATATTTTGTGGCAAATATGGAGGAGCTGAGCAAGTAGAAAGATAGGGCAATCAAATCATCCATTGGAAAAATATCTTTTCCCTAATTTTCTTGAGACTTTCAGAAAGTTTGGTAATATGAATTATTACCACATTTAAGGATTTCTAATAAGGTAGAATTTTTCTCATGCCAAGGTTTGTGATTTTTCTGTTTGTGTGCTCAAGCTGAGCCATTGTCTTACCCATCTCCAGCATTTCCCATTGTTGACAAACTGCTAAAGTTAGAAACAGCTGCATCAACAATGATACCACAACCAAGCAATCACGGCACTCAGTTCCTTTAAAACTATGACCATAAGTTATGTGGGGATTAGATGGGAAGTTAAGTTTTCATATTGGAATATGCAGGTAAGAAAATTAATTATGGTTAGATTTTTTCTAATTGCTGAAGGTAGCTCATGCATACTACTTTCCGCTTGTATCTGCAGTTGTCCTGAATTTGAGTTGGGAAAGACACAGGGGTTGAGATTTTAAATAGATTTCCAGTGAGACCAAAAGAGAAGAGTGCCAGCAACTTTGTCAAGGGAGCTCATGTGTCAGAAAAAAGCTGATCCCATTTCATGTATCCACAAGGTCATGAACATTCTTTGGCCTTAAAAATCACCTTCAGGGGAAGTGCATACACATTCTGAAGCAAACAGAAATAAAATCACATTCATCCTTTATCAGTCTCAAATTTCTTAATCTGAAGTAGACTTAAAATCTCGTGGCTTAGAATTAGAGTGATAAGCCTCAGCCTTTTTCCATTCATCATATAATTTTCAAAGAGACGTCGAACTTTCCCATTAAATCAAGCAGATGTGACCCAGTCTTTATCAGGTTGATGACAGAGCCTCTCTTTGTTCTTCTAGACTGAAGTTTGTAATATATGTTATGTTTCAGTCAAGAAATATAAGAATATAAAATTTTATTTTCCAATGGATAAATGTTAATTACACAACATGTTTTTCCCCTTTTATTTTAATTGCATTTTTAATTGTGGTAAAATACACATAATATAAAATGTACTGTCTTAACCATTTCCAGTATACAATTCACATTCACATGATCGTGTAGCCATCACCACATCCATCCGCAGAACTTTTTCATCATCCCAAACAGAAACTCTGTCCTCACTAAACAGTAACAGGACATGTTTTTTAAAACAAGAATTTCTGGATTCCTCAGATGTGGTACTTATTACATTTGTAGTTTCAGATCATGACTTTGGGGTGGGGGAAGCTGCCAAAGTTTTATGTGAATAATTAAGGATGTAGCCCCCTTTATATCTCCATCGCATAAAATTGATCTCATTTATTCTTTCCTGCTGAAATCAACCACATGCATATTAAAATATCAAATGTCATAGAATGTAAATATTTATTGGTTATTTCATAAGTATACCAACTGAATATGATCTTTTAAATATTTGCTGAGCTCTAATAAAGAAATAATTTTTAAGTATTGAAGCTATAGCTCTTTTCACTCCTTCTGAGCATTACTGATTTATCAGTTAAAATGGTTTATTTGGTCTCTGTGCTTGGTTTAGTTTGTAGCTTTAAACTAATGTTCAATGATTTCATTTACTATATAAAATAAACAACACTGATTAAGTATAGGTGTGTCAGATGCAAAAATTGCATCTGTATAATAATTTCCATGTACACAAGTTGGCTAGAGATGATTGTCTCCAAGAAGTGTTAAAGATAAGGTCAAGGTTTTATTTTCACAATATGTAGAATTTGAAATAAGCATTTTGAGAAAGCATGAATTTTCTAGGGCAGGTATGTTTTTCTGCATTACAAGTCTAAAATCTAGCATGTGGACGGCCTTTACTTTCTCCCAAATAATTTGTTTTCTGTCATTGAAAAGAATTTTAATGGTTTTCTGATTTTTCTTATCATAGCTCAAATTATCAGCCATGACATTGTTCATTCTTGCTGTGAAATGCCTTCATATAATCTGAGAAGGTTTTTACTTTCTCTGTTCTTCTTTTCTGATAATACAAATACAGAGGTGTCTGTCAATATGCTTATCCTTCTTGAATATAGAGAAGGGACAGAAAGTAGTGTGTTTAATGGAGCTGGACTGCTTAGAATTTTGATGCACTGGTAAAGTTGAATCATTCTTAAGACTCATAATCTGAACCCTATTCTCAATGTATAGCCTTATACTCTGTTTACACACAAGTTAACATTACCATCATTGGCAAAAACTTCACTTTACTTCTTTTTATTTCTGAAGGACCTCTGAAGTTAATGGCCTGTATCAAAAAAGCAAAACTCTTCTGGAAACTGTTCATGAAAAATAATTTTTACCTGGGCAAAGAAAATTCTTTTCCCACTGAATCTCGTATTGGGTGTTCTCTTCCATCTCACTTATGTCCTAGGTGGTCTAAACATAACACTTCATTGACCTCTTCAACATGAATCACTCCTTGGAGCTTTAGTAAATTTATACATGATGGCTATAAGAGACCATTGGGATATAGAAGGATCTGGGACAAGTGTTAGCATATAGAGAACAGATGAATGGGAAAAATGATACCAAATAAATACAAATAAGAAAATTAAAGTTGTTGAAAGTCTATGTATGATATGTTAGAAGCTTTCTTGCTTGGGGGTCAGAGGGATTTCCTATAACTGTAATCCTAGTTAAAAACTACAAATCAAAAAGTGTTAAAAATAATTTATAATTACTTGTACTGGGGGGGATATATTTAAGTTCACATTAATGACCACTTAGCAGATTTGTTTTCTATTGAAAATCACTCTGAATACATTTGGAAGATTATGAAATATTTTGAAGTGTTTAGTGCTCTGATTTATTACAACCGAATATTAGTTTTCTCATTTTAAGGAAATCACCTGTTTCTTTTTATTAAACTGCAGCTCAAAGAGTCATTCAAAGATATCAAAAAGAAATTCAACAATTTGAAGTTTAATTACACTAAAAAAAGTGAAAAAGCTCGGAATCTGAAGGCTCTTAAATATCAAATTCAGCAAGTTGATATGTATGCAGAAAAAATGCAGGTAATGAGAAAGTATGGTGTGTGTATGTGGACATGTGTATGTACTCGTGCGTGTCCTACTACAATTATTGCAAAATCATTTTGCATTTAAATTCTAAATGACTAACTCGGGTTTCTTATAGCATTGAGACTGAAAGGGTATACATATTTCCATTTTTCTAACAATTAGGTTCTTTGTGTAAAATGTATAATAAGTTGATTTATCTTTTGAGGCAGCTCCAGAATGATTTCTGCTGAACCTCCCCAGCCTGTCTGCTTCACTTCTTTCCCCAAACACATACACACATGTGCACGTATGCATACACACACACACACACACACACACCTGTTTACACCCCTCCTCCTTTCCTTGCACCCACCTATATTAGGGGTTTCCACTAGTACACCAATAGCCCTTTACTCCTACATTAATAATCATATGTACTGGCTAGACTACTTGAATGCCTTTCCCAGGAGACATCTCAGTGAGCTTATTGAGAACAAGAATTTGATTATAAGCTCATTGTGGTTTTTTTGCTTGTTTTTTTTAATCACATTATCATTCTTGAAATTTGGAATAGACCCTGGTAATAGTACATTTTCTATATATTTGCTGAATCTGAATCAATAAAATATCTGGAGGAAAACCCATTCTTTCCAAAATGCATTTGTAGTCATTATGTAATTATGATATTAACCTATCAGAATGCAGGAAGCTACAAATGTTCTTTCAAGTTTTTCTTTCACCATTTAATCACTAACATCATAAATAAAAATTGAATGCTTTTAAATTTATTTATTTATTTATTTATTGTGCAGGCTTTGAAAAGGAAAATGGAAAAAGTTGATAATAAAACTTCTGATTCTTTCTTAAATTATCCAAGTAGTAAAGTTAATGTCCTTTTGGAAGCCATGAAGGATCTGCAAAAATATGTGGATGACTTTGACAAAGTTGTGACAGATTACAAGAAGAATTTGGACCTGACTGAGCATCTCCAGGAAATGATAGAAGAGGTATCTTCTTCTTGTTACAATGGTATCCATGTTGTAATTCTGCTTTAAAAAATTGTTTTGCCACTTTAAAACAATGCTGCATTAGCTATTACTTTCTTTAAATCCATGTCTGATGTTCATTTTCGTGATTATTTCCTTAGGATAATTTCCTAAATTAGAATTGCTGGACCAAAGGGGATGAATGTTATAAGGTTTTTGATTGTATTGTCCAATTGCTTTTCAAAAAGATTTCATTAAATTACTCTTTCTTGCAACATGTGAGAGTTCCTATTTCTGCATAACCTCACCGACTCAAGATGTTTAACCATCATAAAATTATGTTCCCTGCCAGGTATCTGTTTAAAATACTCAGAATGACTTATTTATTTTCTGGAATTTGGAAATATTTAGAAAGAAAGTAATAGCACCATTTTTCAGGTACAAAAAGTTGTCATTTGATGTTATTTTTGTTATTGTCAAGAGGATAAATGGTAGAGTATACAAAAAATATATGAAGTTTGACAAGTTAAAGTTATTTGCAGTCTTCATATTGAAGAAACTGTACACTTGAAGTTCTTGAGTGTTTCTTGTCACCCACTATTCTGAGATACAAAGCATCTTTCTTTACCACTAATGCAGTTGAGTTTTTAGATTTAACACCCCAGTAAGGAGGATCAAGGTGATCATTCTTCTATATCTGATGTGTAGGTTGTAGCTCTGTGGTGCTTATTTAAAAACAGCTCCTAACAGAGTTGTGTGTTTCTATTTTTCACCCATCATAAGTGCTTCTGGCCAGGGTCAGACATTCCTTTCATCACAGTTATTTATTTTTAGTGAGAAACTGTCTCAATTCTCCACTGTGCTTTGAAAATATGATGATCTTCTATTTAAAAAAGTGAAATGCTATTCTTTGAATGATATTTTCTCCATCTATAAACTAAATCTCATTCTTAAAAGAGAACTTACTTATTAAAGTATTAATCAGGCAATACTTTACCCATGTATTGTTAATGATATCAGTTCATTATGCTGGATTTTGAGTCTTCTGGCTTTTTTCTTTCCATTTAGCTGATCTTTGGATTCTTTTTAGTGCCAAATGCTTTTTATGCTGCATGTTCTTGTAAGTCTGCAGCATTCCTCTTAGGAATTATATTTTAGGCAAACCTAAGAAGGCAGGAAAATCAAATGTATTTCCATACTTTTACTTTCTTTTAATTATATTTATATGTATTTTCATACTTTATACTTTCTTATTTCTGCCTCCAATATTTACATGCAAATGTATATGATCTTGTTTTGATATTCTCTTTATTATGACTTAGAAAGTTCAAACCACTGTAAATACAAATTTTGAGGAAATTAAAATTTAATACCTCACTGGTCAAAAGTAAGAACTTTAGAAGGATGGTGTCTCTTTAATCTGTGCTTTATCTCATTCTAATTTAGTGCCACTTTTGGTATGAAGACGCAAGTGCCACAGTTGTAAGAGTTGGAAAATATTCCACAGAGTGCAAGACAAAGGAAGCTGTGGAAATTCTCCACCAGCAGTTCAATAAATTTATTGGGCCTTCAGTGCCTCAGCAAGAAGAAAGGATTCTGGAGGTCACCAACCTTGCTCAGCATTTATATGGTAAGATCTCTTTTAAGATATCCAGTGATTTGCCATCAAACAAATCTATACCGAACCTAAGCCAACAGAAAGCCAGGGCACGGCTAGCTCTCAGGGTCCTCAGTACTCCAACCTATTCAGGGAAAAGGCTCAAGGTAAGAGCCCAGATCTAGTAAAAGTAAACAGTAAGAAACAGAGAAAGGAACTTCTGACAGCAGGAGGTGAAGCCTGCTGATTTTTAACTACCTTGTGTAAACCTTCCTTCTCTATTCTCTTTTTTCCCCATTCCTATTCCTATTGTTCATGTCTAGGTTAATAAAACCAGAATAATACTCAGCTTATATAGACAATAATAATAATAATAATAATTATTATTATTATTTCTGCTAGAGTGATTCCCTCAAAAACATAAAAAACTCCAGTAATAACTTTAAGTGGGCATGAAGCTAAGACCAAAGTCTGTAGCCCTCTCATTTCCCTAAGGATTGTGGTTCACAGATTGAGAGAGAGCTGGAAAATGCTCCCTTGCCTTCCCCTCACTTGTGAAGTCAATGGGAGAACTCAAATGATCACCTTGCAAATTCTGCTTTTCTCTCCTCCGTGACTAGAAAGGATTATACCCTTGTCAGCCTGAGAAGTCCTTCTTCCTAAAGGAGGCCCCTATTTAAGAAGCCTCTGGGTGATAGTCCTTGCTGGCTCTGAGGAGTAAATTCCGTGAATTCTGATACTGCTCCTATGAGAGTAATTCCTAATGACCCGGCAAATGCAGCCCAGAACAAAAACAGCAACAGGTGGTACAAAATGTTTCATTTGGCTGTCTGCAGCTGCTACCAGACAGATATTTTCTCTTATAAAATGAAGCACTATCCATGGACAGCCGTAAAAATTTTGTAGAACAATATATAATGCACTAATTAATATTAAATTGTTGGGAGTGACTTATTCATGATTTTTCCAAAGGAAAAGGGTAGAAACATAAAAATAATAAAATGTAGATTGAAAAATTAGTGAAAACTAATGTGACATCTTCTAGCTGTAGTTACTGCACTCATATACAAGTAAGTGAGCTAAAAAATTCTGGAGGCACTCTGCTCCTAGCGCCGTCAATGTCTCCTTCTGTTCCTGTATTTTTCACACTGTCGTATAAACACCTGTTTGTCTTCTGTACTGACCATAAGCTCCTTGAGAGCAAAGGGAGTTTATCACAACAGATCAGGGCCTATTCAACTTCAGATTATGCATGGTAAGTACTCATGGTGACCTCATAAAAGTTACATTCTCCTCGCATCATGCAAGATCTTGTATCCTGCTTAGTTTGTATTCCTGGCCCTCATCACCAGCTGACATATTAGATAGTTATTTGTCTGCTGTCTGGCTTTCCTTACCAGAGTATAAACTCCATGGAGAGAAGGGATTTTGCCTGTTAGTTCACTGCTTTATGGCACATACTAACTGCTTAACAGATATTTGATGAATAAATGAGCCATTGAATAAATAATATCAATGAATAAATGAGTGGCATGAGCCTTCATCTGTTCAGTAAAGAAGCTATACATTTAAAAATTTGCATTAAGTAAGTTACCTTAGGAAGATCATATCAACTCTTGCAAGCCACTCAAGTATTATTGGACCCAGAATTTTAATGCAAATAAATTTATATAAAAATAATTTTTGCATATTTATTATGCACCAAGGGCTGTGGTTGATATAAAAATAAATAAAACCTAGTTCCTGCATTCAATTACCACAGTCTAGGTCCTGAAGTCATGATATGGTAAATGCAGTGAGAAACCTATAATGTGTGAATAATAGTTTGCTAGGGCTGCCATAAACAAAACACCACAGACTGGCTAGGTTAAACCACAGAAATTTATTTTCTCACAGTTCTGGAGGCTGGAAGTCCAAGATCAAGGTGCTAGCAGAGTTGGTTTCTCCTGAGGCCTCTCTCCTTGGCTCTCTCTCCTGCTTCCTCTTCACATGGTCATCCCTCTGTGCACGAGCACCCTGTTGTCTCTCCCTCTTCTTGTAAGGACACCAGTCATATTGGATTAGGGCCCCACCCTAATGGCCTCATTTTACTTAATCACCTAGTTTTTGAATACAGTTACATTTAGAGGCACTGTGGGTGAGAACTTCAACATATTTGTTTGAATTGGGGAGAAGGAGAAACAATTCAGCCCATAACAATGGGCAGTCCAGCTTGGCCTAGGCTATGGAGCCAGGTAGTCCTTGGTTCAAATCCCTCTTCCTCCAATTATTCAGGGGCATTTGAAGAGGTTCTTTTGAGCTGCTAGTTCATTATTTGTAAAACACATGTAGTGGTAGAACCCACCTGAGGATTGCATTACATAATGCGTATAAAGGGCCTAGCTCTAGGCAAATAACAAGCACTCATCACATGGTAGGTATTTTCATTATTATTCCAACAGAAAGAGATAAAATCCAGTTGGGAACGGTTGGGAACATTTTCACTGAGATGTTGGCATTTGAGGTAGACCTTGAAGAGTAGTAGGATTTTGACAGCAGAAATAGAGTTGGGGATGGGTATTCCCGAAGTAGGAAAGGATACTCAGTGCTGTGGGGTTTTGAGGAAGAGTTGTTGGTTCTTTCTAATAGATATTAAATACGTGAGGGAATCAGGGTGACATGCATTTGGGAGAGGCAGGCCAAAACCATGTTCTGAACAGTGAAGAACCACTGAATGTTCTGAACAGGAGAAACTGATTAGAATTGAGCTTTAAGAATATTAATATAGGGCCTGCCCGGTGGCGCACGCCGCTTGGGAGCGCGGCGGCGCTCCCGCTGAGGGTTCGGATCCCATGTGGAGACCGGTTCCCACTCACTGGCTGAGCGCGGTGCGGGCGCAACACTGAGGGTTGCGATCCCGTTACCGGTCAGTAAAAAAGACAAAAAGAAAAAAAAAAAAGAATATTAATATAGCAGCATTATTTAGGTTACATAAAAGTGACATGGTATAGCAAATGTAATCATTTTTCTAGAATATTTGGCTTTTCAAAAAAATGCCTTTATCTATCTATCTGTTCAGCTAGTATGTATTAAGAACTTACTAACTACAAGCCCTTATACCACATACTAGAAGGAGGAATTAACACCTAGAATTTTTAATTTTATTTTATTTTATTTTTTCCTGCTGAGGTTTTGACCTTTAAAAATAGTTTTATCCTTTCTCCTCTCCAGGTTTGGAAGAAGGGCAGAAATACACTGAGAAAATAGTGGCAAAACACAAAGAGGTTCTTGAATCCATTACTGAATTATGTGGGTCTCTCACGGAACTTGAAGAAAAATTGAAGGTAATTTCTTCTTCCTAGAATGTGTATTTTCAAGTAATATAAATAAAAATGTGTTGATCAAATGTCTTCTAGTACAAAGATGTTCTAATAGAAGTTCTCAAGGGACATAATGTGCACATTTGTTTCACAGCTTTCTAACTTAATTATCTGGGCGTTTCTGATAATTAATTCTGTTTCTTTCCCATCACTGCAGAGAAAAATATTGCTGGGAATAAGGGCTAAACACAATGAAGGTGTCTTGTTTACATTTTCATGGATCAAATCCTAAAGGAAAAATGTGTGCCATTAAAACTAAAGTCAAGTCTGTATTAAGTAGCCTTACGTTTTTGTTCGTACATAATAGATGTTAAGTTCTTTTCTCTAAATTGTGGCACAAAGAAAATAAAAGTAATCTTCAGGTATTATATTCACTGAACATTTAGTTTCATGGAAGTATTAAACTAACCATTATCACCTTTCATGAAATAAAACAAAACTGATGGAAAAACTACAAAGAAAATGTTTCTATCTATATCTAGGCAAAAACCAGTTAAAAGAGAAATGCTTATGTTGTTTGGTCTATGCCATGTCAAAAAAATCAGTTTGATTAATGCTGTTGTTACAACTGGCTGAAAGACCTGGTTATTTAGGCAAGGGAGAATAGCGAGGCAATTGAGAGCACAGCCTCTAGAGTGAAACACAGCTGCTTCCTTACCTTCCTCGCTCCAAGATCCAGACACTAGTAGATTCGGCATGTGCTGAGGGTCCACGTCCTCAGAGATGGATGTCTTCTCACTCTAACCTTAGCTGGTGGAAGGGTGAGAGGTCTCTTCAGGCCTCTTTTATAAGGGCACTAATTCCATTCATGAGGACTCCACTCCCATGACCTCATCACCTCCAAAGGCCCCTACCTCCTAATACCATCACTTTGGGGCACATATTTCAATTTATGAATTTTGGGAGACATAAATGTTCAGACCGTAGCACAACCACAATCATCACATATAACTACTGCTACCATCCCAACCACCCTACTTGATTATACTTAAGGAAATCCTCTGGCTCTGCTCAGATTAGTGTCCCACACGCTTAACACTACACTTTGCCTTTTAAAGCAGATTCTCCAAAAGGGTTTTGGCATATGTAGTAAATGCCCAAAGGATTGGTACATAGAAAAATAATCATTCAGCAGCTTGAAAAAAATTGATTTGGGTGGATATAGACATGAAGAAGGGCCTGTCTGGCAAGAGAAACAAGCATCAGCATCACTCTTATGAGTTACAGCCACAACAAAAGCTTGTCAAAGAATGCTTACTAACACGTTACAAATGTATGGAAAGCATAAGTGTCTGGTTTTGATGTTTTTAAGGTTGATGTTATGGCTCTCTTGCAGGCGTTATTAAAAAGTGGACCCAGCAATCCCTGTCAAGGCTGAAATAGTGATAAAAATCCTTTCTTTTTTTTTTTTTTTTTCTTTTTGTCTTTTTTACTGACCGTACCAGGGACCGGCAACGGGATTGCAACCCTTGGTGTTGCACCTGCACCGCGCTCAGCCAGTGAGCGGGAACCGGTCTCCACATGGGATCCAAACCCTCGGCGGGAGCGCCGCCGCACTCCCAAGCAGCGCACTCTCCAGTGCGCCACCAGGCCGGCCCTAAAAATCCTTTCTAATGTATACCAATTTGAAACTTACAAAGGATTTTCATATATATTATGTCCAGTGATTTCCAAACAACCTTGAGATGGAAATAAGGGAAATGTTTTCTCTGTTTTGGAGTTGAAGAGATAACTCCAAAGAGGATAAAAGTGCTTCACTTGGGACCCCATGGTCAGTAGTGGTGTCTCTGGAATTTGAACTTAGATCTAATTCAAAATCTAGCATTCTTTCCACAACAGCTGCCATTTTGTAATTAGATACCAAGTGCGCACTAAAGCAGATTGACCCATCCAGTAATACAACCAGTTTAGTTTTAGAGTTGAGACTAAAAGCTGAATCTCCCCAGTAGTGTGTCTCCCCAAATCCTCTGAGCCAGTGTAGCACATGTATTTTGATGAACATGCCTGTTTTTTTAAGGTACATCTAGTGACCATGTTCCTAGTAGAATAGACAATCTTCTGTTTCAGTATAACCATCATCCTAAACTGGTGTGTTCCATCACTTGGGAGACCAGTGATTCTTTTCACCTTCACAAAGTCTGCTCAGCCCTCACACTGGCTCCACAGCAGTTAGCAAACCCCCACTACCTCCATGACTGAAACAGCCCCATGAAATGCCGGAACAAAGTACCATCGCATACTGAAGCATCCTGTGTTCTCAGTTTTTTGTTTTTTTTTTTCTTTACTATACTCAGTGATATTTTCTTCCTTTTTCAAGAGTCTCCTAAACATTTCACTTGTGTAAGTTCCCTAGATTTCCTACTTTCTTCTCCACCAGAGACCTTTAATCATTTCTACCTCATTGCTGCTTCCCAGACTCTCCTAATAGTTTAAACTGCCATGCAGAATGATTCCTTTTTCTAGAGAATGCTCCTGCAGGAGCATCCTATTATAACAGTTACATTTTTCCTGCTGGGCCTTTGAACAACCAATTTTTACTGGCATTGAACTTTACCAAAGAAATGAGGCAGAAGGGAAACTGAGCATGGAGGGATAATTTCATAAATCACATCATGGGAGTACATCAGTCCCTTGTGGAACACATTTGCTGAAAGGTTGCAAGTGGCCTATGTTTTCTTCCAAGTAGTTAGTGTATGGCACTGTTCCTCAAACTTTCTTGTTCCAGGCTCTCTCTAACCATCACTTTGTACAGCAGGGAGACATTTTAAAGATGGATCCAAATTTGGAAGACTTCCACGACAATTACGTTGACCTACTAAAGGAACCAGCAAGAAATAAGCAGAAAATATTCAATGAAGAAAGCAATAAGGTAAAGAAAACTACTTAACCTCAGGTATTCATTACTTTTGTTTAGAGGTTAGCTAGAGTCATGGTACATCTCAAAATAAAAGTGACTTGAAGCCTTCTTATCTATCCAATAGAATCTTCCATTGTAAATGCAATGAGGGTTTCTTCATCCCTTACTTCCTGTCTATCCTTATTTAGTCCTTTTTTTCTCTCCTATGCTATTTCCTCTGATCCCCTCCTATTGAATACTGGAACCGTGGTGTTTCATAGAGGCATTGGGACAGCCATTTAAATGCCGTAATGTCACCTGAAACCACTTCAATTTCTCCCATCTCCAGCTGCCTTTCCCATTGTCCTTTATATTCAATCCAACTTCATATTTTACTTCCCCCTCTTTATCATACTGCCAAGCCATGATTTTTATTGTTTCACACTACCCATTGGAAAACATTAGTGCATGAAATTAGATCATATCTTGTTTCTATAGAGCCTACCTCTAAGATAATATTTCCAGGCACAGGTACTAAAATATAGAATCCAGCTGAAATATAAATACTAAAGCATTTAGAGAAATGTTTATAAATTACTTTAAAACCTATGCAAAAACTACAAGTACTCACAAAATGCAAATGTATCATGATTTCAAAAGTGTTATTTAAATCACAACATCATTGTGGTTTTTCCACATAAATTACTCACTCTCTATTCATAGCCGCCAGACTATAATTAGCTCTTGACTTTTCAATTTGCCAAGTTGTCTGCTCCCGATGTTTCTCTCCCGAGAAGATGAAGGAAAATGCAGAGTCAACATTCTCAACTGCCCCCAAATTAATACAATACACTGCTTGTGACATGAGAGTTAAAAACAAACAAATAAAAAATTTTCTTGTTGCAGTTATTTCACGGAGAAAGATTTATCTTTCCTTGAAGTCTGTACAGTTCTTATAGCTTCTTTATAGGTTCTTTTCCACTGGTTAGATCTATGTCAAGATCTAGTACAAAAGTTATTACTTTCAAAATAAACACAATTATTTATGCTTAGTAAAAGTGGTTTTTCTTGCTTTTATTTATTTTCTTATTAGAAGAAACAGATTACTTTAAGTAAAAAAGCATGATTTACTTTCATTGAAAAATCACTTTTATTCTAATATTAAAAGACATGATAAATTATCAGTCACTTAGGATATGACTGAAGGTCTACAATTACAGCTGTCAAGAATTCTCACTAACATATCATTTCATGTACACATTCTGGTGCGATTGGCACAGACAGCAAAACGAATGGGTGGCAGTAATCTTCACTTATAAGCAGCTCAATCACATCTACCCTCTTATTGTCTCTGTTATTTATATATAGGTCAGATGTAATGATTCCTCAAAATACCATGTGGGCAAATAACAAAAAGCATTAAGTAAAAAGCTTGCCCAGGAATTACTGCATTCAATTCTGATCCCCTTAACTGGGGTCAGTCTTCCTCAGAAAAATTATTTGAGTCGGAAAGAACAGTTCCACCAAACTATTACAAGGATATATTCATCACAGGAATTTTCTCTCGGAGATAGGAAAGTGCTTCTCATTTTTCTGACCCAAAGATGCAGCAGGTACAATTAGGTAATTCAGTAAATGCAATGCACATAGCACTGCTAACAGATTAGTGATGATGTTTTATCCCCAAGGTATGCACTGAAGCTAAGTCCATAGTAATATCTAAAAATTCCTAAGGTTAAGCGGAGGCACAGAGTATTAATAGACTTGCCTAAAGTCATGGAACTGTTCTGTGGAAGATGAGGGCTTTTGATGCCAGCATTTAGAGTTATAAAATTTTAGTGCTAGAAGGGATTTAACAATCATCTGACCAAATCTCATTTTACAGTTGAGGAAACTGAGGCCAAAAGAGATTAAATATCTTGCTCTCCCAAATCAGAGAAAGTAGTGTCAGAACTGGGCAGACAGCCCAGGTCTCCTGAATTTCAGCCATATACTTTCCCCACAAGACCAAGGGAAAACTGCAAGGAACTGCTGCATATAATAATACTGTAGATGTCCATGCCAAACCTCTCCTCTCTTTCTATTCACCTGTTTATATGATGATTAATAAAGCAATAGCACACAAGTACTTTTATACCAAATAATTTAGTGGAATGTTCTCATCAGACTGGGTAAGGACAGTCTCTGGACTCTCCTCTGATAATCCTGATCACCTTACAGGTAGGGGAAGATGTTTTTGAGACATGTGCCTGGGAAAAATTGGGAAGGTGACGAAGTGTCCTTCACCACCTTTCCACTCTTTTCTCTTTTACCTTGTTCACCCCATATGCCCAACGTACCAAGTCCCTCCTTGGCTGCCCAAGCCCAGAAACAACTTTCATAGACCAAGTCCTATGCTCAATGTCTTTCTTTGTCTACTTCCAACTTATCTTAATTAAATCTTATTTACCATAAAGTAAGACTATCTGTTGTGGAGATATTTTGGAAGGTAAAATCTGATGGTGTTACTTTAAATTTACCACATAGGTGGTTTCCTGTTGTATGTACTTTAAGGATCGGTTCTGCCCACTTAGTTGGATGGATGTAGAATATCATTATATTTTTCCTTCCAGAAACTTTGTGTGTTACTTTAAATTTACCACATAGGTGGTTTCCTGTTGTATGTACTTTAAGGATCGGTTCTACCCACTTAGTTGGATGGATGTAGAATATCATTATATTTTTCCTTCCAGAAACTTTGTCTACATGGCAAAGTGATTTTGTCCATCTTTGGAAATGAAAGCTCAGAAATCCTGACAGAGATAAGACCTGAGGCTATAGATTTAGATTAATTAAAAGTTAATTGATCATTAGATATAAAAGGAGTGAAATCTTTGAGGGGAAAAGTGTATAGAGAAGATTAGAGAACTTAAAGACAGGACCATGGGTCTTTTATATATTTAGAAGGTGGGAAAAGAAAAAGGAATCAACAAGAAAGGCACAGAGTAGCCAAGGATGCTGAATTATGAAACAAATTGAGAGTTGAGCTATGTTTTAGTGAATTAGATCAGAGTTTCTCAGCTATTTTGCTAGAAATCATCAAACTGATGCAAATATGCCATGTCTATACTGAAATATGTAGATTTATTTACCTTTTCTGGAAACACACACAAACTTTTCTTTTTTTCTGGTAGCAAAGATGGTTTCATGGTGGGGAAATGTGAAAAATATATAGTTGGTATGTGTGAATGTTAGGATACCATTTTTATAAACAAAAACTAGATAGATCTAGGAAACTGTAACTCAGTGAGTTTTAAAAGCAGTTTCTGTGAAATTACATAATGACTTAAAAACTGAAAGCTTATTTGCATTTGGGAATAAAGACAGAAATGCCAAGAGCCAAATGGATTTACTGGGAACAAAAGTTTTATTAAACTCACCTTATTTTGCTTGCTGAGATGATTATTTAATGAGTAATTCTAGGTTAGTATCATAAGCACAATCTATTGTGATTTCAGGAAGTCACTTGATGAATACTCATGATATCTTTCTTAAGATAAGTGGAGAAATGGGAACTGAGTGAGAGTTTCTTCTGGTTATAATTGTACCCAAGAGTGTTGGTAGTTCATCAATGTCACCCTGGAAGACAGTCTGCCTGGAGGAGATATTTGGCTTTGTTCTAAGCTCTGCAGTGTCCAACATTTTTATCAGTGGTATCAATGGACAGAAGAGGTAGAAAATGTTAGTTGACTAAAAGCTTGATATGGATCTCTGGTCTCATGTGGTTCTTATAAAAGCAAAAAAAAAAATAATAACTAATACAATCACTTTAATAAAAACCTATCATTAAGATCAAGGAGATGATAATTCCCTTGATTAATTACCATCTGGAAAGTAAATAAATTCTAGAAACAAACATATTTGGGGGAACGTTAATTAACAAGCCGAAATGTTTCTGGAAAAAGATTTGAGAAAACCATCTCTCTCTTATTGTTAGTAGAAATTATCTGGTAGTGTTATTTTCTGTAGAAAGTAATTTTCAATTTTAGGAATTGTGAAAAGAAAAAAAAATAGTATTCCTGGATTCACTTTCTGCATGTGGCACCAACTGAAAGTAAGACACAGGAATCAGGAATCAGTAACCAGCAAAAGATGGATTCGAGGACATGGTCGGGACTTTTCTAGTGGGTTTCCCAAAACTTCATGCCTGATGTAGAGAGACTTGCCTACCCAGCCACTTTGGTACACAGACAACCACAGGCTTCCCCTGCAGGGATTTTCGTGCCTTAAAGCCAACCTGAACATGTGCATTTAGTGGGAGGCAAATCCAGAAGAGAGGGCCTCAGAGAGACAGAGCTAAGCAGGCTCAGTTCTTCTTTCAAGACCTCAGTTGGGTAAGTCAATTCCTCCCCAGTAGGGATAGAAGAGCGTGGAGACTGGCTTGGACTTTTATTCAGGTTTCTTCCCTAAGATTTTTGTAAATTTTCAGGCAAGTTTAAAACACTATTCTTCTGTGGTGAGGCATAGGTTACCTGAAGAAGTCATTAAAGAGTTTGTCTACCCCTTGATGGTTATCAGGTCAACAAATGTTCCTGCTGTCCTGTGAAGAATATTATAGCCCATGAGAGTCAGGCCTCCCAGAAGGTGACCAAGATGATGAAAGTTCTGGAGTTGAGGCAGAGGAAGATGACCTGGCAGTGTCTGTTACAGAGAAACTTAGAGGTCATAGAACCTATTCTCCAAATAGTCAAAGGGCTGTTAAAATAGGAGAGCAGTCGGACTTCTTCTGAGTAGCTCCAGGAGGCCAGCTCAGATCCACTGGTGGAAATTGCAGGAAGGCAGATCTTTGCTAAATATAGGAAGATATTCATTACACAATTAAAACATAAAATTCTCAAAGAAAGCACCCTTTTAGGAAAAGTGTTCAAATAGAGGCTGCCAGAATGTCATGGAGGAGATTCTTAAACTGAATAGGCTCAAAGTTCCTACGAGAAGGAAAATAAACATTCTATTTTCAAGAAGAGAGAGAAGCTGAGCTAAACTAAAAGAAAGAGGAGCATTCCCTACTGGACATGTTTATTTAGTCATTTTTTTTCTTTTCATCAGAGGGACTTTTAAAAACTACTGCATTTTAAACTCAGAATTTAAACTTCTACTAGTTGACTGAAGGAGACCACTTTTTCTAAGCTGGGTTTATGCTTTCTCTGAGGCGAGGCCATCTCTGCAGTAAAAAGAATATTGCTTTGCTTCTACTTTCCAACCTGAAAGCACTTTTAGTTTCTCAAAAATCACTTATAATGTGTATGTCAACAGCAGGACCATGGGCTAAAATGAACTCACAGTCAAGGCAAGACATGACTCTCATGTGCGTGCAGTAGCCACAGAACAAAAACCAGCACTTGCTAATTAAGTAAAAATGCATCCAAAATGCTGAGGAAGGGCACAGAAAGTAGGTATAAAACAAGCCTGTTGGGGTAGATGAGAACACTTTCAGCCAAAAGGGACATTTGAGCCTCTTCCTAAACCAGAGATGGACATGAATTAGTGAGGAAGAAGATGAGGACAGTGTAAACAGAAGGAGAAGTGCTGCTATTCCGGCTGCTAGCCAGACCTGCACTCCACATGGGACCGAGAGATAAGTGGCGGGCATTCCTCCACAGTATCTTGGTGTGCTCTCTTGTTAAAGGCCATAACATGTAATCACATTCCATTAATATCTACCTACCCCTCTAGGCTATCATCTCCACGAGCACAGAAACTGTATCTACTTTTACTCAACATAGTGTTCCTCTAATGCCAAGCATGGCCCCTAGTATGAGGGTACTTCAAAAAGTTCATGGAGATTTGCATTATCTTTTAATCCTGTTTTTTCCATAAACTTTTTGAAGTACCCTTGTATATAGTAGATGATCAATAAATATTTCTTCAATGTAAGAATAAAACTAAGGGGCTTTAGGAAAATAAAAGCAGTCATTAAGAATGGCTTTCTCAATATAAGGTATCTGGAGTAGTCAAATTCATAGAGACAGAAAATAGGATGGTGGTTGCCAGGGGCTGGTCAGAGAGAGAATGAGGAGTTATTGTTTAATGAAACAGAGTTTCAGTTTTGGAGGATGAAAAGTTTGGAGGTGGGTAGTGGTGGTGGTTGCATAATAATGGGAATGCACTTAATACCAACCACTGAGTTGCATATTTAAAACTGGTTAAAATGGTAAAAATTAAGTTATGTGTATCTTATCACAATTTTTTAAAAATGGCTTTCTTGAGAGCAAAGAGTGGTTATCCTGGGAGGGTTCGAGGGATCACCTAACTCAGGGGTCTCCGATGTTTAGGAAATATGTGTTGCAATGGAGGGTAGACAAATAAACCAGACCAATGCAGAATTTGCTGGTTGAGGAGATTCCTCAGATGATGGTTTGAAAGACATCGATCTAGTCTGACCTCTCCATTACAGATGACGATGACAGCTTTCTTCTATTTCACAAGGTCTATCACATTTCACTCAGAGACTTGAAGTCAGCTTCATGATTCCTTAGTCATGGGACGGGACTGTTCCCAGGTTAGAAGGCAAATGGTTTCAAATTGCATAATCCTTGTGCCAGCCCCCCAGGCTTTAACTGACTGTGGGTTTTCTCAAGTTGTCTCTCTGAAGTTGGGTTTCACCGTAATTGGAACCTGGCAAAGGAAAGCGAATGACTAATGAAGCTCTGGCTTTTCTCATTTGAAGGGGCAGGTACAGTTGGCAGATATTTGGGCCATCGACAGAGCAGGGGAAGATGGGTTTCCACGGGACCCGAAGCAGCTGTCCCTTGCCAGAGAGGGCAGCGTCCAGGGCCTGCTCCTGCCTGAAGACATGCTGTCAGGCAAAGAATATGAGTGTGTCTCACCTGATGACATCTCCCTGCCTCCACTTCCGGGGAGCCCGGAGTCCCCCGTCGCACCATCTGACATGGAGGTGGAGGAGCCTCCCAGCTCCTCCCTCAGCCTTCACATCCGGAGTGTGTCTCACCTGATGACATCTCCCTGCCTCCACTTCCGGGGAGCCCGGAGTCCCCCGTTGCACCATCTGACATGGAGGTGGAGGAGCCTCCCAGCTCCTCCCTCAGCCTTCACATCCACAGCCACAGGACGCAGCTGGGGACCAACTGTCCAGGGGAGGCCCAGGAATCTGTTCTCCCACCACCGGTTGCTTTTGAGGATGCATGCGATGATAAGAGAGAAACATTTTTGAGGCATTTGGAGAGGTCTTCCCCCCAATACAAAGCTGAGCCCCCACTAACCTCAGGAGGAGGATTTCTGGAAAAGAGTACTGCCTTACCCAAAATGAATGCTAAACCTCCAGAGAGCATGCTGAGTGAAGTGCATGAGACAGCTTTACAACAGCACCCTCAGGCTCAGGGAAGTGTGCAGGGAACATGGGAGAAAATGCATGCTGAAAATAACAACGTAACTAAAACCCAAACCCGAGATAGGCTGCATGCTTCCTCTGATACATTCTCAGGCCTCAGATTTCAATCAGACAGCAGCTGGGGCTATCAGAGGCAAATGGCTCCCCGAGAAGAGATTAAAAGCACATCGGCAAAGAACAGCGTGGTCAGCCTAGATGGCCAGGCTCCTAGTTTTTCCAGGCTCCTGTCTAATGTAACTGTCATAGAAGGTTCTCCAGTGACTTTGGAAGTTGAAGTAACAGGATTTCCAGAGCCTACACTGACATGGTGGGTAGCCTATAATGACAAGCCATAAACAGAAGCAAGTTCAATCTCTGAGAAAATCATTCTGTGTGCACTAACTTAAAGGTTTAGGGCTAGCTGATTAATATTCCACAGCACTGCAACTCTGCGTGATTCAATCTCACATCAACCCCCCATCTTTCATTTTAGTAGCAGCATGGTTAACACCCTTAAGAAAAAAAGTAACCATATAAAATAATAATTTAACAAACTCCAAAAGCACAGTAAGTAGGTTGTGCTTGCATTTGTTTTTGTTTTTCTTTCAGTTTAACATTCCACATTTCTACAGATTGCAGGTTGAAATTCTTTCCTATTGCCTATTTCTACATAAGCATGAAATTTGCTTGGTTTAACATCCCTCATGCAATTAAAAAAACATAAGAATTTTGGTTTATCCCTTTTCTTTCATTTAGCTGTCTTATCTTTTCCTTATTTCCAGCAGAGTCACACATGCCGACTTTGTAATACTTGCTTGTTTTGCTAAGATTTTCTTTTATTAATTTCTTCAATGTGAGAGGTGGAATAAAAACATTTCTTTCACAGTTGCTCCAGGTAACCAGTAATAAACCCATTTTTGAAAGGTGGTATAATAACTGAGCTGTGAACAGTTATATGATTTTACTTTGGAGACATCATTATTTTTTAGCCTAGTTGTTTTAGTAAAAGTAAACTGTAGAATACAGGTTTTCCATCACCTACTGTTGTTAACAATAAAAGCAGTTTTAACTGTCTCAATATGTGGGTTACTTTTAAACATTTAGAAATGTTTTATCCTTAAGTAGATTTATTTGAGGACAAAGTTACAAATATCTGAGTTTTACCTATAAACTAAGTAAATTTACTGAGTTTATACCTATAAACTAAGTAAAATAGCCTTTATTTATCATAATGTTTCAGCAGACATTAAATTAATAGTTTCGATTATTGTGTGTGCCTATTGATGGTACTTGAAGTGTGAACCGTTTATCTAAAGAAATTATGAAAAACTTTGGTTTCTCAAATTATTATAAGAAACTGCACTTGTGCTGTAGTGCAGCTACTTCTGCTTTTTGTTTTATTTTGTTGTTTTACATATCAGGAATTTCATATTCATGAATTTGAAAGATATTTAATTCCTTATTAAATATCACTTCACCCCCCCAAAAAATGTTGTCTGAAGTGGTTCTTGTTTTTGTCCACCCAGTGAATAACTTGGTTAGTATATATGGTTGAAGAACCATTGCAACATATATATAGTTGAAGAAATATTGCAATATTGTAAAAAATATTTTGCCATCAGATTTGCAACAATTTTGCTCAATTAACAATAGACAAGCTATCAGAGAATCATACATTCTTAGGACGCTCAGAAAAAATCCAAAATTATCACTTAGGTACTGGAAACAGAAATGATTCAGATATAAAATAAATAAAGAAGAACCTCACATTTACGAAACAAATGATTTGCTTTATAGAAAAAGGTAAAGTGCTCATGTTCGTAGGAAACTTTTAGAAATATGTCACTAACAGTCATAATCAAATTGCATAAATATCCTTTATAATTAGAAATCATTTTCTTCTTCTAATGAAATTAATTCGCAAAAATTAAATCAACTCATTTCACCAGGAAATGATGTATGTATAAGTGCCTTCCTCTAAAACAGCACATTTGTATTGTCATGTGGATCTTGTGGTATGAATATGATGGGGCAGATTAGTCTGACTCCAATACAGATTCCAAGAAGGAGTCACAAGTGCTGTTCTGTAGTGGCCCAAAGAACGAAGCAGGCTGGATATGAGGGAACATTTCACATTCTAGGTAATTGTTGCCCTTAACAAATGATGGCCCAATGAGGCCAGAAGTTCTGGTTTTTTAACAGTGGCTGGATATGTAAATTTTCATACCCAGTATTCCAATTGTTAAATGTCATCAAAAAATTCAATTTTTCAAAAACATGGTCTGAGCCAATCAGGGCAATTCTCTGGCCACCAGTGCCAACCTCTGCTTGAGAGATAAACAGCTGCACTGGGATTTGTTATAACTACAAAGTTCCTGCTAATACTAGAGAATATTGCAGTGGTAATGGGCCTGTGTGCAATAGGTATTAGAGCTTGGAAATGATGTGAATAAACAGTGATCCTGACTTTAAAAACTGACTCTCTGCTTCAGGTACAAGAACGGCCAGAAGTTGTCTGCAAATGAGTACTTACAGGTTTCACACAAGGAGACAAAGCATTCGGTGTTCATTCCGAAGGTATACGAGGCAGACGCAGGCTTGTATGTGGCTCAGGCTCAAAACTCTAGCGGCACTCTCTCTTCCAATGTCATCCTCCATGTGACAGGTAACTGCAGGCCACCAATCACACGAATAAACTGGATAACGCTGTGTGTCGTCTATGTTAGTGTGTCCCTAATGTACTGGCTACTGACACAGTAACAATGGTGTTGCTCCAGTGGATGTCATTCTCATGAGACTAAAGGACAATACTGCTGTTTATTTTCCTGCACCTTCCACAAAGCATTTGTCATCCAAGTGTACCTCCATTCTGGCCATTTGCTTGTTTGGCTAATACCACTTCTAGGCAAAATAATCAAGTTTACTTTAGTGTTTGATGTATTTGTGGAGGTTGGTAAATTATTTGCAGTGGGTAAGATTACAATTTTGTACCTTAGAAAGAAATGTGTTCAATATAATAAGCAGCAAAATTATACCATGCTTATTCCCTCCTAATTGAAGGGCATGCACATGGAGCCACACATCAGCATAAAGATGTGGGCTAAATTTCAAATCCAGTTGTTCAATCATTTATTTTAATTGTGCTCACAAATATCTCTTTGTAGAGAATAACAGTAGAAATATTGAACTGAAGTTGTAATTTTCATTATTGTATTAGCTGTCCTTTAATTTTGTTTTTCATGTCCTGATCTCGTTTATTGAAATGCATTCTATATAGTTTCAACATAGACTACATTCCTGAGTCTGAGGATGTTACTGTAAATAATCATTCCTCATGTTGCTCTCATGGACTTGACATTGGAGAATAGATGTGCCATCAACTTTAGATGGAGTTTCCATCTTCCCTCAGCTCTCCATGTCACACAGCAAGAAAGAACACAGGCTGCGGAATGGACCAACGTTATTACTGTCATTCTGTTGATGTGTTTGGGGCTGTCATGTGTATAACTGTAATCAGGTCCCCCTGATTCTAATCTTGATTCTGCTGCTGACCATTTTTACCGTCTGTGACAAGGCATCTCTTTGCCTCAGTTTCCCATCTGGAAAACGGGGGTTCATCTCTACCTCTTGGGCAGTCGAGAGCTTTCATTTTGTGTCTAGTAAAGATCTGGAAAAGGGAAAGCACTCTGTGAAGGCTAAGGGTGATTGTATTGTCTAGTGTAATTTGTCATCACACTGGCCTCCTGCCCACTATTTCTCTTTCAGATGCTGTTTCTTTAGAATATTAAATTAAAGGAGTGCTGTTAATATATAATTTGCAGCTATTCCCATGGGGGGAAATGATGTTTTATAAATTGGAGCTTAAATTCCTTTCTAATTTCTTAAGACTATATCATTTTCAAAGACTTGAAATTAAACTCAGGAGGATACATTTAGTATGTTCTGTGGGGGGGAGTGTGTAATGAGATGATATAAGGTGAATTCTATCCTTTTTTATGATTATCACTGTAATATTGAAGAATGTTCTATGACCTTCTGAAATATATTATTCAGAAAAAAAGATCATCTTTTTGTCTTATTTTAAAAAGAAGCATGAGTAAGAGGCATTTGCTTTTTAGATTTTAAACATAGTCTTATGCTAGGGCTAAATCTTTAGTTGAAAGAATAATGTATTACAGATTTTTGATGAAGGGAAAGAATTAATTATGTTGCTGGAAGACTGTCTGCAAATAATCAAAATATTTAAATGTAATGTATTCAAGTTGATATTAAAAAGTTACTGAATGTTATCTGAAGATGTGAAATGTGCAGTCAAGTAAAGAGTTGACATGTTCTTGTGTTGCATATTCAATTTAATTAAAAAATTAAAACTCTCTGTTTTCTTCCAAGTTTTCACAGAAACTTATTAAAGGCTTATCTACACAGCATCCTGGGAACTCATAGTCTCTTAACTCTCCTACCCTTCTTGTCTAATTTCAAGTATTTTGCATATCTTGCCTCATTGCTTTTGCCCATGTTGAAACTAGAGTGAAACTTGTTCATGTCCAAAGAAGGAAGGCAGACCAGGTATCAAATTCTCTCTCCTCACTTTCTATCTCTTTTTTAAATAATTTGGCAGGCTCTCCCTTTCCATTTTGTCAACTTGGTTGAATTTGTGTTTTGGGTTTGTTAGGGCATGCAGATTACTGGTTTGCATTACCTGCTGCATGCCAGTTAATGTTAGTCCTTTAAGGAACAGAGTGGAATATACATACATCCATGCTGTATGAGCAAATAAAGCATGTAAAGTCCCCCATATACATATATGTACACATATATACATATAGCCCAAATATTGGAAAGAAGTACTATGCTGATATTCAAGATATAGTTCAGATAGTTTTCCGTATATCTCCCTATCTACTTATTAATCTGGGCTATTGATTGACTAGTAATTCCCACAGCAGTGAAGAATAATTAGCTATTTAGTTATTCTTCTGGTTACATTCTAATTTCAAAAACTTAGGTGTGATTTTCCTTTTTGCTGGGATTTCTGTCTTGATCAAAGACTTCTCCTTATGAAAGTATGAACTGAAGTTACTGGTTAAAAATGCAAAACCAACTGGCTGGTTAGCTCACTTGGGAGAGTATGGAGCTGCCAAAAAAGAAACGAACACAATAATATTTTTAAAAAATGCAAAACTTAGGAAATCCAAATGAGGTCTCTATTTTAAGCAATAGGCATGAGTTATACCCATGTACTTCTACAGACAATTCTGGACACTTAGTAATATCAAAAGATTTTCAACAGAAAAATTTAAATGAAAAGAAATATTAAAAATTATATATATTTGACATCTTGAAGGAATGCAAAACAGATGTTACTGAACTTTTTTACAAGACAGGATCATTGAGATTTCTAGTTCTGATTTTCCGATAAAAGGATATATAAGTATATGGTGAGTTTTTCACAGTCAATTCCAGGAGAAATTTACTGTAGGAAGTCTTACGTTTGAATTTCTTAATATTCTATGGTATCTAAAATATTTGAAAAAGAAGCAGGAAAAAATTATCTATTTTATTCAATAACAGTAAGCATTATTTATAATCAAGACACAGACTTAAAACAGATTACTGCAAAAAACTTGTAATTGCTTTGTTCAAGTTTAAATTCCCTCAAATAGTACACAAGGCCCTTTCCTACCAGGCCCCCCTTTCCCAGCCTCTGTTCCATCCCCTCCTGTTTAAACTGACAGTTAACTTCAGGTTTTTAACCTATCATGCTCTTCTCTCCAGCACTTTCTTCCTGAAACTTCCTTGCTGTATTCCACCCCATCTACTGTGGCTTAACTCCTGCTTTTCCTCCCCTTCCATTTGAGACACAATTTCCCCTGGGAAGCCTTCTAACCCATCAATCCCCTATAGATACTCCTGCTATGTGCACTGTCAGCACCTGAACTGTGCACACCCTATCCCTTAATACACAGAGTTGGAATCTGTCTCCTCTGGCTAGACTATGAGATCCTTGTCAGCAGGATCCTGACAGCCCTGTTCAGCATAACATTCCTAGCATCTAAGACATAGTCACACTCAATAAATGATTTTTGAATTGAATTGTTGTTAGAGGTAAACAAAGATAAACCTACCTTGCTTTTTTTTTTTTTTTTCTTTTCTTTTCTCTTTTTAGAGGGAGGAGGGGGAAATGCAAAAAGAGAAAGAGTATTCTTCCTACTAATGGACATGACCATTCAGGAGCAGGTTGTAGCCATGAAGCATGCATAAAACACTCTCCCCTCATCTACAAAACATACATGAGAACCCTTAAGACCCTCTGGGATAGACCCAGATTGAAGACTGAAACTTAAAAATAGATGCTGGCTCCTGGGGTCAAAATAAGAGTGAGGATGGAAGAGGAAATGTCCAGGACTGTTGTTCCAACATTTTAAAGCAAATGCAATCAGGCTAAGTCATCAGCACATGTAAGTGGAGAAGTGGGTACCTCCA